GTCATAGATAGGGATAGTAATTGGTAATATGTTCTACAATAGACTGTATCGTGTTACAAATAGATTACAATGCAAAGATATTTTGTGTTCTGCCGTTAGTAGTATCAATGCTTTGTTTCTGGGTTTGTAAGCAGATTCTTGGTTGGAAATTGGGTGGCATTTTACAAATAGAAGGCCATTTATTATTTTGTAGGGGAGTATCAGAGTGTTATTCAACCGACGGCGTCATAGTGGTCCTAGGGAAAGATGTTCACATCTTTCTGTGTAGTCGAAATTATGATTCCATCTGAGCAGTGTCCGGGTAAAGCTTCTTCTCTGGACATTTTCTACTGGTAACTTCCAAATTTTTTAGTTTGACATATATCATTTATGTACAAAAGAAGCAAGAGTGGACCTAATACACTTCCCTAAGGTAATGTTTATGTGTCAATATTGTTCAACATTCGCCGTAGGCCCAGATTCGATTGTGGGGAAGATATGTGTAGTCTTATAGTTATTAGGGTGACACCCTGTAGCGAGTGACATTGTAAATAGTGTTAGAAGAATAACACACAGAACATTGCTCCCATTTTTCAGCGCACTGGCTTAGATTCCATCTGGTCCATCATTTTAACAGTGTCTCAGTGTAAAGTTCCCATGCTGGCTAAGTAAAGGTATGGTCCCAAAAAATTAGAAGCTGGCGCATGTCACACCAATGTTCTGAGGCGTCCGGCGGAATGCACATTCAAATAGTTGGTCGGTGGTACTTCTTTCAAGACCCGAAAAGGTTGTAGACACCTTGGCACACGACACTCTATCCGACTAATTATTAATATTCACAAACTTCTTTTCTCCCCCAGCAACGCGGTCTGAGGAAGGATCACTCCTTTATAACTAACCCGTTGACTGTGACAGATAGATGGACAGCCACCGCTGGTCGTAAAAGGGAGATTGGTGTGATATACCTCGACTTCTCATGAGCTTTTGATAGGTCTGACCATACGTGGTTCATCATTAGGCTCGAAGTGTTAGGTATCAATGCACTCATCATGGACTGCTTTATTTCATGCCTAAATAAGCGAATTTTTAACATCACGATCAACCTCCATTTTTATCAGGCTGCAGAATTTCCTAGTAGGGTCTCTCAGGGTTAGAGCTCTTCTCCATTTGTTTCTAACGAGTGACCTCCCACAGCAAATTTCGTCTAAGTTACCACCTTTCGCTGATGATGTTAACCTTCAGGAAAATTTTGTGACAAGATGATAAGTCGGCTCTTCAGAAGGATTTGATTCAACATCAAATTTAAGCAGTCGACAATTTGCTCACGTCTAACACTCTAAAGTGTTAAGTGGTCCATCCATCATATGATCTAAAGTCACATGCTAGCTGACAAAAATGCCTTTCGTGCATGCCTTATTATGATAACACTGAAGCTCATTTTCGGTCAGTTCGGTAACAGTACGTACCGCCTAATTTTTGATTGGTTTACTCAGGCCCATCCAGAGTATGGAAATATGGTGTCCCCTCCTTTAATACAATAATTACAAGAATACACTGGAACATATCCAAATTCGAGCGAAGAAATCACTTTCAGAACTCAATCATTCGAACCTCTGCTTAAAAGAGACATAAATCTCTTGAATCGAGTGCAAAGACGAGCAACCAAATGGGTGATAGGGTTGAAAAATAAACCGTACGACGATAGACTCCAGCTCTTGGGATTATTTCACTGAGCTACAAGAGAACCAGAGGTGATCTGATTATGGCGTACACCATATTAAACACGTCAAACCATCCCAATGTCAGCGAGCATCTTACCGATGCATCATCAACACTCCCCCCGAGGCAATCCTCGAGAGATTGCACATCAAAGAGCAAATACTCAGATTCGTGCACACTTTTTATCATTGCGAGTCGTCGCAACTTGGAATGCTCTCCCAGCCCCCTCAGTGGACTGCTTTAAGAAGAGATTTGATAATCACGTACTCACATACGGACTATCATCTCCCTCTTGGACATGCTGTTCATGATGCATATCTTGAGACCTGCTAGTTGTTACCATTGCCATCTCCTCAGATCACCCAATTAATCTATCTCGCCTATTATCTCTGTTTCCTCTCCCTTGCTTACACTTGGGTCCTCTCTCACAATCTTCACTACCAATCAACAAACTAAACTCACCTATATATTACTCAGTTCTGAAATTTTATTCATATTATCATTTTAATTTGTCCTTATTACCCTTATTACTCTCCACATTGCAACTAACTGATCTCCGGTTTGGTAATGTGACGGCTGCTAGTATCCAGAAGCCCTACTGCCCTGAAACAAACGTTTCATTCAAATCCCGAGACATACAAACTCCCAACCAACAGCCAACTGACTAGAATTAGACAGTCGATTGGCTAGACCTCCATCCATTGGACATTACCGAACACCTGGAACCTTACCGAAAGAACAAGAATCGAGCGCGAAGAAATCAAATTGGTTTACACTAGCTCATGAAAAAGATATTGGATATTGGAAGCGCAATATTTTGATGGTGCGTTACTCAGTCAGCTTGTAGTCCGTGAGAAAGATATTGGAATTGAGGTTAGTGTGATGATTTCTGGAGTGCATGGGGCTGTTGCATAGAAGCAGCCAAATTAAGTGTTGATTATTGTCTGTTTGTTAACCAGAACTTGTTCTGTTTACTATACCTAATTGTTACACTTGTGTACATAAAGGAATGTTTAGTTGAGCACTTCCCGTCTTTTTTGTCAGTATGCCTCGTGAAAGGATCGTTACGGATATGGTAAGCCTGCCAGAAAACGCTTTGCATTGCAGGGAATTTTCAATGGAATCTGACAGGGTTGATTCCTTCTCATTGGATGCGAGTAATGAGTCAAATTACTATTTTTCCGCAACTTAGATGTCGTTTTACTTTCAATGTTCTAACTACCAAATCATCCATTAGCTTTTTTCTGCATATGTGCAATTCATCAATGATATTATATATGAGAAAGTCTCAATAATGAAATTCTTTTTGTTCACATTGATTAAGAGTTACAATTACTTTTAGTAAACACACTCAGTTCTGATTAACAACCAGCTACCACTAAACAGAAAATTTTTTAAATTTCTCCAAAGAGCATCAAAAGAGGTCAAGTAATTTTCTCGTTGAACCAAGTTCGTCCCCTGATTCTTCACTTTTATCTTACATGTCGTCCTGGAAACGGAATTAGGATTTTCATTACTATTAAACTTCTAATAGTAGTTTGTAGCCGAGACAATAAGCCGGCTCATCTGGAGGATTTGAATCAACGTCAAATTTAAGCGATTGTCAATGTGCTGACGTTTAATACATTAGGGTGCAAAGTGATCTATCTGAAACATGCTGCAAGCAATGTATGCAACTTACGTAACTCTCCTCTAGTGTCCCAAGTGTGTAAGTGTCTACTATTTTTCCAAATACTCTTCGAGAATTGTTAACCTACTTTAGCTCAGTCCAAATAAGAATATCATGGTCAGTACTTGGAAACTAGAATAATGATATCCAAAAGGCTGTGAGTTACCAGTGATGTCTGCCGATAAGTTCAACAAAAAAGTTAGGAAAAGTCGGTAAATTTAAGTAGTATTTATTGAACTGATAGGTGCTTTAAAACTCATCCCGCCGGGCTCTGAGCATGACAGCTAGCGCTGATTGTACACGAAAGAGCCGGCAGCAGACTGATTTAGATGCTCACTTATGTGATTGTCCTTTGTACTCTTTCCAGGCTCTAAGGTCCTATGCTGACCTGCCTAAATCTTACGAGTTTCAAGTATCATAAAATGTATATTCAGCTGTCGACCTGGATGCCTTTAATGTACCAAAATCCTGCTGAAATGAAATCTTTAATACTTTTTTCTTTTAATGAGACTAAGCTGATTTTGACTAAAAGTTGTGATTAGTTGCATCCTGACAATATTGGATGCACAACTATAACAAGCATATATAAGTTCCTCGGAAAAAAAGTTAGATAGTTTTATCCTCATAGACCGACGAATCTAATGGTGCATATTCACACGCGTTCATTTTCAAATCTTGTATAAAATTATGTATTTGTTTAACGAATTCCTTCTTAAAATCGTGTATTTTATTGTCTTATAGTAGAACACATTCATGCAGTGAAATTGTCTTGCATACTCCTAATATATGGATATGAAGTCAAATATACTAGTTAATAACTTTTTCTTGATTATAATAGTGTTTAGTCTAATTTTATTTACAAAACTGTAGTAGTTTATTGAGAAGTCACTCTAATATCAATAAAGCAAATATTCATTATCCATTATGTCATTTGAATAGTATCTTGACAATTAGATGGGATTTTTATTTACTTTGTATAAGTAGTGCTATGTAAAAGCTCAGATGGTGATAAAATACGCAAAAGCCATCTGTCCAGTATAAAGATATCTGATCAACAGTAATGTAACAAAGCTAGTAAGAAACCCTTAAAATACCATGTTTTACGTTGAAAACATCTAAATTCCGAGAGAAGTACAGGATTAAAAGTTTCGTCAACAGTTGAAAATCTAACTACTCATAAAATAGCGATATACTCTGTACAGCTATCGGCAAGTGTATGGATGTATTGTACGGCCTGAAGAAGATAAGACCTGGCATCTACAGATAGCACTTCGTAGTAAAAAAGCATTAAGAAAGAATTACAATCGGGTCAACTTTTTGGCTAATTCTTATGTTGGAATGTATCCTATCAAACACTTCATTTTCCTGGACATGTAAAAGTTAAAGGCTTGTATATGTAGTGTGTTTAGATATACATCATTTGTTGTACCGGTCTTTAACTTTATGAATACTACCGAGGCGTTCTTTGTTGCAGTAAAATATAAATTCTCGGTAGAGAATGACATTTTATTCTATGCTTTATTCATACACAGTACTCCGGCTTCGTTAAAATTGCTTTATGTATCAAGTTTTGATTAGTATCTGACCATACTGACCTCTTTATTCCTATAGCGTATCTTTTTATTGCAGTCAAATGTTCTCTTCAGATTATGATGGTTGTGAGTCTGACAGTAGTTCTTCCAGGTAATTTATCACCACAAATCATCGTTTGTGTCACTCTTTCTTTAAAGTGATATCTGCTATGAAAATGGTAATGCCAACGCGACCGAAACTTCTAAAGCTAAAGCTCAAGAGTTTGATGATTTAATGAACAAAGAACTTGATTCACTGATTAGAGGTGTCTATCAAAAACCAACATGTGTCAAAATCGAAAAAAAGCAGAATAAAGATCTAAGAGTAAGATTTACAAGAGATCAAGATGATGACGGTATGTTTTAACGCTTATTAATAATTCGTTTTCATTAAATAAAGACCCTCTTTGCGATTACGAAGAAGATGAGGCCAATTCTAAGTGGGTACAAGCAAATCTCCCGGGTGGAAAGAGCAAGAAATCAGATGCTATCCTCAATTGTCCAGGATGTATGTCTGTTTTGTCACTAACTAGTCATAGGTGAGTTCAGGATTTGCTTCAAACCAGATACCTGGTCTAGTTATATGCTATTTTATATCTTGATACAACTGGAAATAAGTAGAATCTAACTTAAAACCTATGTAATCAAGCCACACTTTACATGTATAGGTTGATTACGTCATGGTTTCAGATATGTACGTACCTGATTTGAAGCAAACAATGGAAATAACGTGCGCCATCGCAAAAGGTTTTGAGCCGTGTCATTCAAAATCTCTAACCATAGATTACTATCATCTCGCAGGCGCCAACCAGGTAGCGACACCTACCAACATGACTCAGTCCGCTTATTAGCGACTTCATGGATTTCTGCCGTTTTGGTCTGACCGCTCCTAGCTTTCTCCCAAACTCCTACAGCACAAAACATGGATCGTCGAGGCAGTCGGTGGTTAGCCATACGTGACACATGTCCCAACCACCTCAACTGATGAAGTTTCACTACTTCATCTATTGATTTGCCGTTCCTACCTAGAACTCGTTTCCTAACGACAGCATTGCTTACTCGGTTGTCCCACGGTATACGAGCAATGCTTCTTAAACATCTGTGATCGAAAACAAGTAACCTACGAACATTTACTCTTAACGGCCATGTTTCGCATCCGTATAGGGGAACGGAGCGAACTGCTGCGCAGTACACCCGTCCTTTGGTCAGCGAACGGATATCACGCCTACGTCATAAGTGACTCAGGTCGGCAAAAGCCAATTGAGCTTTCTGTATCCGCGCTGAGATTTCGTCAGTCACCAGGCTATCAGCGCTGATGAGACTCCCCAGATAAGTGAGGTGGC